GTGTGTGTGTGTGTGTGTGTGTGTGTGTGTGTGTGTGTGTGCATGCGCATGCATGTGTATATTGTATTAAGGATTGGGGGTATTGTATGTGTGTTTAAGTACGTGTATATGTAAGTGTGTAAGTGCTTTTGTATTTGTGTGTTATGTGCACAAGCATATTGTAAAGTGTAAGCTTGTGTATAAGTATGTGTATGTGCGTATTTGTGTACAAGAATGTTATATATGTGTAATTGTGGATGTATGTATAAGTGTTTATGTGTATTGTTTCAGGACATATGTATATGGTGCGTGTGTGTGTGCGTGTATAAGTATGTGATGCGTGGGTGTGCACGCACTGAGGTTCTGAAGCACCCGGTCCCGCTCAAGCTGCGTGTCCCGGATCTTGTTCTGTAAAAGGATCAGCTTCTCCTCATACTGGTGCTTCAGCGTCTGCAGGCGGCGCTGGCTGTTCTCCAGTTCATCAATCAGCTTCTGCTTGATCTCAATCTCACAGGTCAAGTCTGCCAGATCAGCTTGGAAGTTCACTTCTGGAGGGGGGGGGATGTGGGGGCACGGGGGTATGGGGAGGGGAGGCGAGAGACAGAAGAGAAGAGGGCAGCTAATTGGCACAATGGATAGAGCTCTGGATGTGGGACTCAGGAGACTCGAGTTCAACTCTGGCCTCAGACACTTCCTGTCTGCCTCAGTTTCTTCATCTGTAAAATGAGAATAATAATAGCACCTACCTCCCAGGGTTGTTGTGAGGATGAAATGAGGTATTTGTAAAAAGCTTTACATACCCTAAAAGTGCTATATAAATGCTAGTTATTATTATTAGAAATGTACAACCCTTCCTAGGGTCAGCGATGAATGCTGAATAAGTGAGATCTTGATGGAAAAAAGTTAATCCAAATGAGTGCTGTCCTGTAGAACTTCCTCTTTAATCTAACAGGGCAGACACGGGCCTTAGGAACTGGAGTCATGCCTTTCCCCAGGGCCTGAAGTTAAGACTCTGTTCTTCTAGCCGTACTCCATAACCAATGAGTCCAGAGCTAGGTTGCCATCTTGTAGGGATGTCAGAGAGGTTGGATGCTGAGAATGAGTCTGGGAGGGCTCATTCTATAGGAAGTGGACTGGACACTTCTCTACTGTAATCATCAGTTTTTAGCCTTGAACCTTAAGGGTCCTGAGGTCTGGGAGCCCCAGAACAGGGGAGGGGCGATTTGTGTGAAGAGAAGTCAGAGTCTGTTAGATAAATTTCCTCTTCCTCTCCACTGTTTCTAGGACTGGGCAAGAACTGCCAGGAATTCACATAGGGGTGTGTGGGGTGGGACAGTGGGTGTTTGCCGGGAAGTGGTTTTTGTATCAAAAAGAAATAAAAAACGAATCCTATCCCAAGGATGATGGCCTTGGCCTTTGCCTCTGGGTTGAGCACAATAATTACATTTAACTCAGCAAGTGTCCACCAAATTGTCCCAACTGACCACAAAACCCATCCCCCTTCTCCCTTTGCCAGCTACTCCCCAACCCCTGCCATGAAGATGATCCTGGGGTCTAGCTTTCCTCATACTAACTTAACATTGCATAAGGTCACCTGTGAAACTTCATTTAGGTCTAGTCATGGAATAGATTTAAATCCTACTCCTGACAGATGTAGATACCTTTGAGACAGCTGGGAGAATAGTGGATAGAGTGCTAGACCTGGAGTCAGGAAGACCCGAGTTCAAATTCTGTGACTGACACTTACTAGTTGTGTGTCCCTGGGCAAGTAACTTACTCTCTCTCAGATTCAGCTCCCTCATTTGTAAAATGAAGGGGCTGGATCTAAGACGCTCCCTTCCAGCTCTAAATCTATGATCTATGATCCTGCTGATGGGTCGAACCACCACAAGTTTCTCCCCACCTCAGGCTATCCTCTATTCAGCCACCAAAACTATGTTTCTAAAACGTAGGTTTGACCATGTCACACCCTCACTCAATAAACTCCAGTGGCTTCCTAGCACCTTCAGGATCAAATACAGAATCCTGTTTGGCGTTCAAAGCCCATCATAATGTAGTGACACCCTCTCCCCAAGCAGGCACGTAGTAGGTGCTTAATAAATGCTTACTGCCTGAATGATTATGGTCCTCATCTGCAAGGCCAGGTATGGCTCTCTACCTCATTTCCTCTTGGTGAGAAAGGAAGACTCCAGGGTAGCATGAGGGGTTCTTTAGCCTTCACTTTCAGGAACTGGAAGGCTGAGCTTCCCCTCTTGGCATGTCCAAGCACCAGTGGCCTCTGAAGGCCCTTGCAGTTCTAAATCTATAATCTCTTCAATCTTCCCACAATCCTTCCTGTGTCTAGCCCTGAGGGGTCAACTCACCCTTCTCCTCAGGATCGGAGTCTGAGTCCACCAGGCTCTCCTCGCTGCCCGAATCTTCATCTTCATCTTCCCGGCCTTCCTCTTCCTCACAACCACTTTCATCCCGATCCTCCTCTTCCTCCTGGGCATTGAGCACCACGATGGGGCCCTCCCCAGCCGTTTGTTCCTCCCGAGGGTCAGGAAACCTCCCCCCAAAGGCGGGGTGAGTTCCCATGGGGCCAGACCATGAAGGGAGCGGTGTCCCAGGACTGAGGGATGGGAGTATGCTCATGTGTGTCTACACACACGCATACATACATACATACATGGAGGGCAGTCAGTAGGGAAATAAGGCAGAAAGGGTGAACACACAGCACCGCAACTAGAACCCTGTGACCCCTCCCCGCCCTAAAAAACCGCAGCTGTCTCCATGGGGCATGGGCCCTTTATGCACACATGGAGTCCCTTCTTTGGGGTGAGATTGGAGAAGAGGGCAAGTACATCAACCTGGTAACCAGCCAGCCCATCACTGAGGGGCACAGTGAGTCTAATTCAGGGAGGGGAGAGTTATTTGGCTCTGAGTGAGGCGGGGGAGTATTGTAGGCACTTTCATCGATGGCCCTCCTCCACCCCTTCTTACTGAGCCTGATGCCTAGGTGAACCCTAGGCAGGGTCACAAGTCAGAGTGCACAGGAGAAGGGACTGGCCCTTACCTCCTCAGCCTCGTTCTCATCCGTCTCTTCTCCATTCTCTTGATGTAACTTTGCCCTCTTTTTAAATGCCTCCTTCTCTGGGCTGCCCACGGGAGGAAGACGGGGGTAGGGTCAGGTTAGTAAAGTCAGCCTCACAGAATTCTAGGTTAAGAGCTAGAAAGGGTCTCTCTCAGAGGTCATTTCAATCAATCTCCTCGTTATAGTTGAGGAGAGTGAAGCTCAGCGATATTAAATAACTCGTCCATAGTGACATAGCTGGTCTGATGTCGGAGATGAGATTTGAACCCAGTCCTTTCTAGCTCCAGGTCCAGCACTGTGTTTGTCACTCGGTGCTCCTGCGCTGGGGGTGGGGTTAGAGTGAAGAAAGGAGGTGGGGAATGGTAGGGAAAACATCCCCACCTGAGGTTGGGAGATGGGATGATGTCACCCTAAAGTGTAAGGGACATGGTGGTGAGGTGAGCCAGCAATTTCCTCCACTTCCCAGGTGTTCTGGCTTTTAAACTTTAATCCAAATAGCCCAAAATAGAATTTAATTATTCTCTGCTTTCCTCCACGCCAAAGATCATGAGATAGGGTGAGGCAACCTTTGCCCACAAGTGGTTGACTAACTCCCCAAGATAGCAGGCCACTGGGAAAGAGATTTCTGGTGCCATTGTGCGTGATGTCACCAGGGAGTTGGCCTGAGGTGGTACAGAGATGGAGCTTAGTAACCAGCTTCTACTAGTCTCCCTCTCCTCAGACCCAGATCCAAGAAGGGGTGGATGTCTCAAGGGGAGGAAGTCCCACCCCTCTGAGAGAATTGACCCCATCCCAATCTCCACCTACCCCTCACCTCCCATCAATGACACTGTCAGATGGTGTATAGGGGCTTCTCTCCCTTACCTTTTTCTCCGCTGCCTGGTCTCCTTTTTCTTTAGCCGTTCCAGGTCCTGCTTGGCCTTACGGATCACCTCTGAGGCCTCTGCTTCCATGGAAATTGATGGGCTGCTCAGCAAACTTCCCTGGGTCTGGGAACCATTCATGGAGTAGGAAGGCCTCCCTGAGGTCCGTGAGAGCATGCGGCGGAGAGACTCATTCATTGCTTCACTCTCTAGAAGCTTTGTTCTGAAGTGGAAGAGAGGGTGGAGAAATGAGGTCAGCCAGAAGTGTTGTCTCTTAGCCCTACCACTGCCAGAGTCCCAGACCAGCCACCCTGGGTCTTCCCCATCCCTGATGCTCACCGAAGCTCCTCAATCTCTCGAATATAGTTCTGGATTAGAGTACCAATGGCCTCGTTGCCATCTCCTGGTGGGGAACAGAAAAGAGATATCTATCTCATGATAATGGTAACAATCCCAGCAACAATAACACTGTGGGATAGGTCACTGTTATTGAACATATATTGTGGCACCTAAAAGAAAAGGTAGATTTTGGCAATTCATCCAGAGGTAGGCTAAGTGGGCCAAGACTCAACTAGGGCAGATATAGTGACATTATATGCCTCTACTATAGAAGAATGGAAAGAAACAGAAGGGAAGGTTGCTGTAGAAGAGAGGAAAGCCTTCAGCTGCCATATGCCAGCTGCTCTGAGAAACAAAGAATAAGATGAGGTGAATTGGATGAGGTGTAACGGTTCCCTGCAAGCCACAAAGAAGATGGGACTTAACCATTGGGACCAGGGCTGTTGTTAGCAAAGACAATACTGAAATAAGGTCATGAAGTAGTGAAATGCCCAAAGAAATCTATGGATGGGATAATTAAAAGTTAAGAAGCAACTTAATATACCTTAGATGGTTTTTTCCTTTCTATTTTTTGTTCTATTTGGTGATACATGACTTATTTATTTATATCTAAAGAAGAATTAATAATTTGTTTTGTTATAAATAAGTGTTTACCTCCTCATTCTTAAAGGCTGGTAAATGTCGGCCTAGCATATACCTGAGGACCTTAGTTCCATGCCCAAAGCTACTCACACCCAAAATGTTGTGATTGCTATGTTATCTCAGGAGGGGGAAAGGCTATTGCTGCTCACGCATTAATAGTGACCAGAAATGAAAGAAAGCATGGTCCAGAGGAGGAAATAAATAGACTTTTCTGGATGAAGCTAATCAGTAAGAATCAGGTCATCAACAAGTCAACAAGCGTTTATCAAGCACCTACTAGATGCCAGGCACTGCTAGGCACTGGGGACATAAAGAAAGGAAACAAAACAAAACAAAACAAAACAAAAAAATCCCAACGAGTCCAGTCTTGATTATGAGGAAAGTCACCACTGTTTTCTTCCCCAGTAGTAGTAGACCTAAGAAAACACGGTCGGCATTGGGCACTGCCCTTTGTCTAGTCAGAATGATGACGCCACTGAAGGCCAGGCTGTCAGAGGAGCACATCGACTGAGGGAAGCTGGAATGCTTTTCCTCACTTGAAGTCTTTAAGCAAACACTGGCTGTCCAGCTGTCAGGGGTATATGGTAAAGGAGATTCTTTCTCAGGCATAGATAACTTAGATTCAATGACCTCTGAGGTCCCTTCTAAACCTGATCCTTTGTAACTCTGTCTAGCCTGAAGAAAGAAAAGACTGAAGGGGAATTTGATTGTTGTCCGCAAGGATGTGCAAGGCTGTCAAATGGGAAGGGGCCTGGATTTGTTCTACTTGGACCTGAGGGAGGGCAGAGAGAGGGGGCCAGAACAAGGGGCAGTGGACAGAGGTTGCACAGCGACACAGTGAGGGAAAACTTCCTAAGAGTACGTGCCGTCCCAGAGTGGACTGCGCTGCCAGCAGAGGTGGGGGCTCCCCTCACTAGAGGTCTGCAAGCAAAGTCTGGATGACCGCTTATCAGGGATTCTAGAGAAGGGATTCCTGCCTTGGTATGGGTGGATGACGGCCACAGGCATCCTCTGAGAGCCTTCTGCCTCTAAGAACCAGTGCCAGGCTTAAGTTATCTCATCCAATGGGACCCAGTGGGCCCCAGGTAGTCACGGCAATGCTGTCTTGAACTTTATGAAGTACTTTGACAAACATTATCTTGTTTGATTCTCAGAGCAACCTAATGAGACCCATGGGATGGAGGTCAGTATCTCCATTTTACAAAATGAAGACACAAACACTGAGTAGCAGCTGAGTGACTTGTCCAAGGTTGTACAGCTGATTGCGAAGAGAAATGGGACTGGAGCCCAAGGTCTCTTGCTCCTCAGCGCTTTGCCTGCCTTATGTTGTAGGTCTGGTCTGGGTGGCTAAACATATGGTGCACAGGGACCTACATTCCTATCCAATCCACCGAACAATCTAGTAAGGATAGATCAGGCATTGTGCTAGGTGCTGGGGACAAAAAAACAACAACAAAGTCATATATATATATGTATATATATATATGAAAGTAGTCTATGTATACATACACACATATTCTCTCCCAGCTCAAATTATATATAACATACACAATTATATGCATATAATGTATAATATATGCTTTGCATGTGTATATGCATATAATGTGTTTTGCATGTATATATATATACAATATCTATATATACATATGTGTGTATATGTGTACACACACACACACACACACACACACACACACACACACACACACAAAATTTGAGCCCAGAAAGAATGTTAAGAATTAAGGGGATCTCATAGGAGTTGATATTTGAATCCTAGGGAAGGGGGAAGGGGGAAGGGGGAGGTGAGGGGAATGTACCTCAAGCATGAGGGAGAACCTGTGGAAAGAAGGTTCTATGGCAGAAGACGGGGTGTTGAGATTGGGGGAAAGAAGGGAGATTTGGTTGGAAGAGAGAATGTATAAAGAAGAAGCATATGAAATAAGCTTGAATGGTAAGCTGGAGCCAGACTATGGGAAGTCTGAGGTTCTCATGGTCTGCCAAGGGCTAGGCAATGGGCATTAGATTTTTGTCACCAAGGTGGTGACCAGGAATATTTTCGCTGTTTAGGACAGATGAACCCACTCCTGCAGGGGCAGAAGGAGGAAAGAACAGGGAATCTAAGTGCTTTCTGATAGACGACGCCAACTGGGAATGGGAAGGTCTCTCCAATCATGGAATCAATAAGCACCTACTATGTTCTGAGCACAGGGGCAGGTACTGGGGGATGCAAAGACCAAAAAGGAAGGACTCTCTATTTTACACTCTCCCATGGCAGAAGACAAGTCCATCTAGAAGTATAAGGATAATAAATACACGGTGGCTAGGGAGGGTGGGTGGGCAGCAGCAGTGTCCTCCTCCTCTAGCTGGGTCCACTTCTACCATACTCACCGGCCTTAGCAAGGAGCAGGTTGGCCTCCTGGCTCATGAGGTGGGTGACTCGGTTGTTGATGGCATCAATGGCTTCCTGCATGGCTTTCACCCGCATTCTCAGGGTGCCATTCTCTTTCTGCAGCATGGCGTTCTCCCGGAACAGGTCACTGTAGCCCTCTGAGCCATCCTCCCCAATAACTCGCTTACCCTAGGAGGAGGAGGGCGGATAGGAAGGGGTCAGCATCTGGCTCAGCACTCTCACTTGAACTATTGCTCTTTGTCCCTAAACAGCCAGTCCTTGACCACCACTGTCAGATTAACCCACTTAAAATCTAGTTCTAACCATAGTATTTCCCTTTTTTTTTAAAACTAAAAAGATGCACAGAAAAGGACAGAAGGCAGTTTAGAGGTCAACAGAGACAAGTGGGACAGCTTTGGGAACTAACATGCCATATTTAGCACATATTTTAAAAAGAAAAAAAACAGCTGTACACAGTGAGATTTGAGGTTTCATACACAGATACATGTTCTCTGAACATAGAAATATTCAGGTTTCTCAAATTCAAAACAACAAAAAATTAAAAAAAAATTTTTTAATACCTTCTTTGGCTTCTTATTAGGGGCCTACCTATAGTGCACAGAGTGCCAGGCCTGGAGTGAGGAAGACTCATCTCCTGAGTTCAAATCCAGCCCCAGACACTTACATACTATGTGACCTGGGCAAGTCACTTAACCCTATTTGCCTCAGTTTCCTTATCTGTAAAATGAGCTGGAGAAGGAAATGGCAAACCACTCCAATATCTTTGCCAAGAAAACCCCAAGTAGGGTCACAAAAAGTCAGACACAACTGATTGAAATGATTGAACAACATGGCTCCTAATAGCCTATCCAAAAAAAAAAGTCTAAATTCCTTATCCTGGTTTTCAAGGATTCTTATAAACTGGCTCTTTTCCCTTTCCAGCCTTTTCTCCTATTAATTCTCTACAAAGCCTCAACACCCCCATCAAACTGGACTCCCAGTCTGACACTTTACTGTTTTTGTCCATTCTATTCCCTCTTCATGAAATGTCCGGTCACCCTGATCCACCTTTGTCCCTCATGCATCTC